AAATTGCGAAAAAAAGCCATAACCAAGAAGGTATCAGCTGCAACAATTCACTGCCCATCGTTGCATGGAGTCTGAGCTGTGTTCCCTTACTCCAAGCACCAAAGGTGTTTGGGCTGCCCAGCTGGGCACACTCTTGATATTCCGCTTTACTACAGACTCTACAGGCTCTTCATGTGAGCCTTTCAGAGGGCAACAAAAACCTCCAGCATTTGGAGCTGTTCTGTAGGAGTCACACCATTCCCCTGTGTCACCAGGAGGCATGGAACCAGCAGTTACAAGAGATTTAGGATCATGACACCAGGGTTGCATCTTCAGACCACTAATGGTCCCTGCTTCACAGCAGAGATGACAGAAGCCTGCACCAGGTCAGACCACAAGTCAGGAGCAGCACTAGGGAAAAATCCCAATCCCCAGGGACTGTTAGCAGACCCTTCTCCCAGGGCCTAGACTGGAATCCAGGAGACCTATCCTGCTCAGCTAAACAAACTCCCCAGCTGCCTTATCTTCAAGGAACAATGAGTTGTTCTCCTGGCAGGGACAAACCTTCCAACTTTCTAATAAAACACAACACGGAATGAGCACAAGTCACAGTGGATTTAATTACAAACAAAGCAAGCAGCAATGTCCCGTGCTGGAAATTCAATATTCCTTGCTGCCAATAATTCATTATTTTCCCCTAATTAAGTTGATATAAAGGGTAATTTGGTCTTTGCAGTGCAGCAAGCCCCACACGTGCCGTAGCAGCAGGTTGCTAGCAGCACCTTGGCCCCTGGGACTCACCTTGAACTGCTGGTGATCATAGCGGTCATGAATCACCACAAAGCGCAGATCAAAACGCCGAGCCAGGTCAAAGAGGTGGTCTGTCTCAGCTTTGGTCCACGCATCATCATGGAGATACATCTGGTACTCCTGCTCTGAGTAGACAGGTACCTGCACTGTCTATGCAGGGAAAAGAAAAACATGGCAGCTCTCTGGCAGCACTGCCCTTCTCACTGCCAGCTGGTAGGGGCCAAGATACTTGAGCCAAGAACAAGAGCAGCGCACTGACAGGAAGGGGCTGCCAGGACCCCGAGCAATGGGTCCTGTTAGGAAATATGACGAGCAGGCAGGGGACTTGATAAGGAGCAATGTGTGATCTCAGGGATGCAGACATGACGTTCTGGGGAGCCTACCAGGAACTATTGCCTGGGACACTGAAACCTATTTCAGATGGCTGACACAGGCAGAGGTCAGCAACCCACATCCTGACAATAGGTATCAAAATTATCAGGCTAACATGACAGTGAAACCAAAGTTCAGCCAGCCTCCCTGCATTCCTCCCACATCACAGCACCAATACCTTGACATAAACTGCTCTGACAGTCAGCTCGTTACTTGGGGTGGGACATGCTCACTTGTACGGGAAGAACGGGAAAGGCAAGGAGTGGTGGTTCCTAGCCTTCAGCACACCTTCTGCTTTGATACACAACCCACTTCTTTCATGTTTAGTGCAGACAGTGCTGTGAAGATCTCAAAGGCTGAGTGCTGTACAACTGAGAGCCATAAACTTGACTGTGAAGATCTCAAAGGCTGAGTGCTGTAAAATTGAGAGCCATAAACTTGGCAAACAACTTTGTCCCTCCCTTCCTCATCCACCCTTTCTCCATCAGAGCCACAGGGCCAAATGACAGTCCAACTCTCAGAGTGTCCCAGGTGCCTAAAAGGCCAAACCCACACCACTGTGCCCAGCGTGGAACTGCTCTGCAAGGGCTCTATCCAGAACACAAGTGTCACGTGAGTACTAAAGGAACAGTAAAAATACTTACTATATCAGGGGAAGCCCTAGCGCATGGTAAAGCAAAAGTGCAAACAAGTCTGTGCCTTCCTCCCTTACCCCTTTGCACCACTCCTGCAGCAGAACTTTGCTCAGCCTGAGGAGGTCCTGCCTCCACACAAAAACACGGTGCGCATCTGAGCGGTGCACATGCTTCAACACCTCTATACCCTCCTGAGTCCTACACCAGAAAAGTCATCCTCATGAACTCCATACAGACCAGAGGAGCATTTCTGAGCCTCCACATCACAATCTTTTTAGGTCGTCTGCCTTTTGTCCATCACTTAGATACAGAAGCATAAAGGCGAAGCGTATCTCCTGGGGACATACTGCACCGCAACCTTCAAGTACCACTTCCACCAGCAGAAGCACCATCCTATTAGACAACGTAAGGATGCCCTATGTACGTCACGAAAAAGAAAAAAGAGTTATACAGTAGCATACATACATGAAAAGAACCAGCAGGGCCCTCTGCAGTGGATGGAAGGGAAGGTGGCAGATGCCAGGTCAGAGAACAGAATGGGACAAGAGCAAAGAGCAGTCCCCAAAACACTTTCTCAGCCGCTTTCATGGCTGCTCAGGTGAGAACTGCTGAGAAGTGAGAAGGTGAGAACTCATCAAATGGGAAGTTTGAGCCAACCATGGGATGACTATAAGTTCAAATGCAACACAGCCATGAAAATGCAAATATGACCCCCAGAGGGATTTCCAGCAGAAACTGGCAGGGTTTCAGTTGCACCACAAGACCTTGCCGGGGATACCAACTATAACTCTACTGACTCATGTTCAGGAAAGATGAACTGAAACGGGAAAAAGTACAGAGAAGAGCAATGAGGATGAGTAATGGGGTGGGGAGCTTGTCCTCCCATAGCAGATTGGAAGAGAAAGGAGCCTAGCAAAGGAAGTTTGAATGGGAATCTGACTGCAAGCTTCAAGTATACTAGATGGAAAGAAAGGAATACCCACAGGAAGAAAAGAGCAACTGAACTAAGGACAAAGAAATGGGCTTACAAAGAAATGCCAATTTAATGTGGAAAATTTAACCTGGAAATGAGAAATGGAGCAGAGCCAGTCTGGAACAACTTCCCAAGGAAGCACAGGGGCAAGAAAATCCAAGTGCTTTTCAAAAGGAACCTGATCAGTTTGTAAAAGGGACTGGATGGTGCAGGACCTGAAAGAGCCAAGAAGAGGATTCAATGGCCCAGAAAACCCCTCTTAGTCCTACATTTCACACCTCAAACTCACACAAAGATGTGCATTAAATTAGCTGAAATTGCTCAGGAAAGATCCTGGAGCCATGAGACAGTTCTGTGAAAATATCAGCACAATGCCCAGCAGTGGTGAAAAGACAAACTGAAGATTAAAAATGACCAGGGGGGGAAAAAAAAAAAAAAAAAAAACAAACAACAGAGAAACACAGCCAATGTACAAACCTACCATGCTTCCATAAGTGAAACACGAACCGCTAATCCACCCATTTCAAAAGAATGGATATTTGAGAACAACAAGGGTGACACAGGGCACAGAAGAGCAGATGTATGTCAAATTATGGAAAACACAGTACATTGCAAGGACAATTTACTACATCATGTAACAGATGATCTCAGGGGCACCAAATGAAACACCAAGGCAGCAGTTTAAAATGAACAGAAGAAAGCGCTTTTGTACACCACACAAAATTAACCTGCAGAACCCATTACCATGGGATATTCACAAAGCAGCTTTCTGCCCTGAACGTACCTAGCAAGAATTATTAAACACAAATTCCAAGTTAAGAAATCCTTAAGCCAAAGACCACCAGAAGCTAGCTATATTTGCCCCATTCTCATGCTCTTTCTCTAAGCCTTTACTAATGGTAGCCAGAAACAGAATATCGTCTGAGATGGGCTTTTGCTCTGACACCAGTGAAGCTGCTTTTATATTCCTATTTCACACCCTGGATCAAGGCTCAGTGTACACTGTGAAACCTAAGTTTACATTTTGGATTTCACAAAGATGAGGGACTTGGGTGGGAGACAGGGAGCAGAGAGAAAAGGCAAAGCAATTGGGCAAGGGACACGGGAGCTTGAGTGACCAGTGGGACAAACTACACAGGAAAATGGGCTTGCCAACGGGAGTAAGAGATTCGGGCAGAGGTATCAAGTATGTGAGAAGGAAGCCACAGAAGAGCTTGGAAAAGTAAACTAAATTCCTCTGATATAGCAAATATCTGCAAAACTCCTCATCAGTGCTTTCTAGTCTCTCAACCATGGATCCACAAGGGTAACAACTTGCTCCTAATATTATGTAATTGTGCGTGTGCAGATGGCAGAGGTCTGTACCGCTAATCTAAAGGTTGCAGCCTTGCTGAAGGCTCTTCTGTCTGTCAATTCACGGTACATGATAAAGTTAAGGAAACGAGAATCGTGTAATTACAACACCCATGTGTGGTGCCCTCTGATAAACTCAGTTGAACTCAGCCAAAAACTGTTACAGCAGTAGAGTCTTAGAAACAATTACACTCCCAAAGTTTCACTCAAGCAGCTAGGTAGGTGCCTTGACTAAGCGAGTCATGCTTCAGACTTCCACCCTAGACATCAGAGAAGAGATACCACAGGAGGCTCTTACCAATGTCCCAGCAAGAGGAAAAGCATCAGTCAGAGCTTGAGCCTTCTAACGTATAAGGTCAACCAACCACTTAACTCTGCAGGAAGCCAGGCTTTGTAAGAGCTGATGCTCTGTGGGTTACAAACTTAAAATGCTGTATACAGTTATACGCAAGCAGAGCTTTTGTGGAATTATGTTATCACACACTTTTTTTTTTCCCCTTCAGATTCGCATTCACATTATGGAAGCACCCTAACACTGCTCCTTCCTAACTTTGGAGGACCTGACTTTGAAATACAAATCTTTATGTAGTTTTCTTTGTGCATGCACATGAAAGCCCCAACCACTCAAAGCAAATACATCTGGGACAAAACACAGCAGGAGCTCACAATAACACATTGTGACAATTTAATGTAAGATGCAAAGAACAGAGTACTGCACCACACTGATACCACAGGAGCAATTTCAGAGGGAACGCAACGTAATTCAGCATCTGTGCTGGAATCTGGCCAAGAGGCTGCAAGCCAGCTTTTTTGCCACGAAGCTCAAGCAAATTTTTTCATACTGGGCAAAATAACAAGACTTCAATGTCTCACTCAGAATAGAATATCTTTTACTACCCAGAGCCTGTAATCAGGGAGAGGATGTTGGCTAGGAACTGAATTAGATGGTACAGTGCCTCCTTACCACAATCAATGACTGCACACCTGAAGCACAGAGAGCTCTAGCAAGCTCTGACCACATGCTGAGCCCACTTAGCTTAAAGGATTTGGAGACATTGTAGTCTGAGGTCACATGGCTGCAGGCCATGCTGCAATTTAAAATGCAATTGCCAAATCTAACTCAGCCTTCACATGCTGAAAGACCAACTTCCTGTCTGGACATTCAAGAAGCTGACCGAAGGGTATTTTCCAGCTGCTATTTATATGCTTTTGTTTGAAAGTGCTCCCACTTACTTTATTAAACCTGGCAAAAGGGTAGTCCTTTCCTTCCTCTGCTGCTCTCCTCCAGTGGTAGAACATTGCTCCATCTTTTCTTGCTGGGTTGGTGAAAGGCATCCACTTCCAAGGCCGGACTTTCTTGGACCCCAGTTTTGCTTTGACTGTTCGATAACCCTGAGTTGTATCACTTGGCAGCAGCGGAGGTGCATCCCTGTGGTGGAGAAAAGCACCGGCTGATGAGAAGCAAGAAGCAGCCCAGGACAAATCTGGGAGATTTCAGACTCAGAATGGAATCTGCCACCACAATGTCTAGGGTGGGAAAACCTGAGTTTAAGCTTTATTCCGGGTTTTGCAATTCCTAGACTGCAATGCTTCCCGCATCAGAAAACAGAATACACAGCACAGATGAACAGAACCATCTGGAAAGCAAACTATGGAAGAGATCTCTGGGGCAAGGGCATAATCCATAACAAGCTAAATACAGACTGCAGCAGAACTCTTTTTGCAGAAATAAAAGCAGGTGCTATTCCCAGTTATGAATAAAAGAGAACTAGATACAGAAGGGTAAGAACATTGCCTTGTCTGCACTAGACTGTTGTGCCTGTACCTAAGTCATCTCCTACACAGAGCAAACCTCTCAAATTTAGAAGAGAGAAGACAGACACTGTCCATGACTGTCTAAGAGAGAAGGGCACAAGCATGGGCCAAGCACAAAGGGGAGTCAATCTGGGAAGCAAGACTGCCCGTGTTTTCAAGAGGATGCTGCCCTTCCACCAGAAGTCCAGGCTACCCCACAACCTGCACAGATGACCATAAGTTCTTACTTTTTGTCAGAGTAGAGGAGTGCATAAACTTCTCTATGCATTCCTTCCGGCCTCTTAAACGTCAATGTCTCTGAAGATTTCTTGGATTTTTTCTGAAACAAAAGAATTGCATTTTAGATTCAGAAATAGCAATCCCTGAGGGAACATTAAACTACGTAACCTGGAGCCCTGTGATGGTTTTCACTTTTATCTGGTTTTAGACACCTTGAATTTCTCCAGGAAGGTGCCTGTTCCTGGTGGAAGACGCTGACAGACAAGACGTGCCTACTTTCAGTGATAGCACTCCCCAGTACTCAGACACTTGTTGTTGCTGATAACACACACTTAAATTCCAAGTTGAACATCTGGCTGTAGTTTTCAGGGGCTGGTGCACTAAGCCTTTTTTTTACTAGGTAAACACTGTCCTCACATGAAGGTATTAATGCATTTAGTTAAGTGATTCTCTGCCTTTTAGAGAAGATAATAGGAAATGTCTTCCCACCACCCTCTCTTGGTTTTTGTCACTTTGTTCTGCAGCAACTTGAGTTTTTACCAGTTGTGATCAAGCCTTTGCAGTAGCCCAATGTCAAAACTACCAGTATCACCTACAAAAGTAAATCCCCGTTCCCGCCTCTGCTCTCCCATTTATACAGGAAAGAATTTTGTTTTGGTTTTGGTTTTTTTTTACCTAGTTTCTTCATACTAGGAATTCAGTGTAGACAACTCAATCTGGCCCCTAAAACCTTGTCAGAACTGATGGTTTCTAAGACACATTCCACCCCGTATCACAGATACAAGTTTATAAAGTAATCAGCTTTGGATTCAAGTAGATACAGTAACAGCCATATTAACAAGGTACACTTTATTTAAGTGGGACAAGTTTATTGAGTAGTCCAGAGCATCTGGTCTAACTGTACCATCTTTATAACTATTAGCCATTAGCCACTACTTTTAAGTACTTGTTTATCATATCGCTACCAACTTTTAAATCAGAGTATTTTGCAGTAGTAAAACTAACACTGTATCATAAATTGTATTAAATCCATACAGTCACCTTTATCAAGCAAATTCAAAATCCCATTAAAAAAATAATAAACTACCAGCTTGGACTACAACTTTCCATAAAACTTGATGACAGACATTGATTATATTAGCACCTTCTCACTCCTAATCAAACACCTTTCTCCTAGCGTGTCCATCACTTTGCCCAGGAGCGATGTAAGGCCAACCGAGGCAGTTACCGTGGGTCACCAGGTCACCACACACCCTGTTTGAACACAGGCTTCTGGAATTCCCCCAAAGTTCCCAGATTTATTAAAAGTTAATATCAGCAGGCCAGAGATCAGCTCACCCAGCTCTTTTAGGAGTTGAGAACAAATTACTTGGTCCTGCTGATTTAAATGTTTTTATGCCTAGTAATTTTTATTTTAACATTCTCAGCCACTAATGGACTGGAAAGTACTTCATGGTTCTCTTGTGATTTAAAAACATCAATCTGTTTCTTTTCTAATTGAGAACAGATCTATTTCCTGAGCAAGTGCTGCACTGTTATTAGCAATTTTGCTCTCTCCATGCAATAATGGCTTATACCTTTGGTTTGATTTAGTTTCTGTACTTTGCAGAAATTCAGAATGTTTCACTCACAGCCGCGAGTGGCCTCCTGCACTCCTCCTGAAACCTCTCACTGCACCTCCCCTTCCTCTCTCTTTCCATTACAGTAAATTTGAGGAGAAACCCATCTTATTTTCTGCTCCAAAAGAGAGACAGACATCCACCAGTACTCCTTCAGCTCTCTGCTAGCTAACACACAAACACATCTAAATCAAAGAACTTGAAATTCCGAACACTCAGTGGCACAACATCGCAGCCTGAATCCAGCCAACGAGCTGCTCACCCGACACACTATTCACCAACACGGCTGATAACCAGTGATTTTAACATTTCAGCCTTTAAATTACTGAAACTGATCAGTTTCCCATTACACCAATTATACTATGTGTCCTATCCCCAGCAAGGCAGTCATGAAACCACTGTGCTTCTCTTCAGAGACAAACATTTCAGTGGAAGCAAAGACAGTCAGGAAGTACTTTCAGGTGGTTGCGTATGTTTGGTTTTGTTTTGTTTTTTTTCCACACAAATACACAGACTTTACTTCAAATCAGACCATCTCTGTACCAGAGAGCTCCTGGGGATTTCCTCTCCCCCAGCTCATTTTCAAGCACCGCCATACCTCATAACTACTTGTGAATTGACCTTCCCAACACCTCACAAAGCATGGGACAGCCAAGACCTTGCCCGAATTTAAAATACAGAAGGCAACAACATACCATAGCATATTACCACACAGAACACAGCACGTGACGGCACACGTCCTTAACAGAGCTTACTAACTTGCCCACATTCCCACAGGCAACACATCCCAGTTCTCCCAAACCCCAGCCACACACCTTCCCTGCATGGGGACTGCTCCCATGGTTTGAAGACGTTTACCATTCAATCAAGTCAGACAATGTTTTTTTTTTTCTAAAACAGGACTGTGTTATATTATTTCCATCTGCTTGCGGGCTAGATGGTAAACACACTTCACACTTACTCCACAAAATGGGAATTTTAGAGACAGCTGAAAAAGTCCTGGGGCCAGGCCCACCTCACCAGGACACCATGTACACAGCTCCAGTCTAAATACCGCCCCAAACACCACAGCGCAGTTAACTAAGAACACCAGGAGCCCAGAAGTGGGGCCCTCCAGGCATTTCCAGATACTCCTAGGAAGCCCAAAAACAAATGGACTATGATAGGAACATGCTTTATTCCATCTTTTTTCCAATATTCACCCCAGACACCACATGCAAGGTTAGTCAGTGCCTAGAAAACAAGCAGCGGCCCCTTCGGGCATCGCAGTTCACCTTATCCGAGTTGATGATATCCTTTTTGTTGATGGTGCCCGTGTTCTCCGACTCTACGCCGCCCAGCTCCAGGATGTCCCGCACGTCTGCGCCGGTCGCCATCTCTCCGCC